ACCATCTCTTAAGTTGATGAATATATAGTGAAGGGCGGGAGGGGGGGAGGGGGGGAGAACAACACTTTAATTTATTGCAATCAGGGCTGAGAATCAGTGGTTTCTTAAAAGGTTAATAAAAAAAGGTAAAAGCAAAAGTCAACTTGTGGTTCGCTCACTTCCATTCAATGTGAATATGAGATACAAACAGCAAGAATATAATTTTTGTTCAGGAATTTGGACTTCTCTCTGGAAATGTCTGTATGTTTTTCAGGCGAGATTTCCAGAGTCTGTTTTATTTTATTTATTTTGAAGTTCTGCAAATAAGAACATGGAGAATAAGTTATAGACTGCAGACCTATAGCACTTGAGAAAGAATCCCAAAGGTCATAGTACACATCAGATTTTTCCCCTTTGAGGCAGGTTTTAGATTTCCTCTTCTGGCCTCTGAGACCAGCTCTTCCTGAACACAGAAACAGTGACGTGAAAAAGAATGAAAATGGATATGGTGTGGCTGAGGGAGTGAGGAACCTTGGATTTGAAAGCTCTTAAATCCTTTCCCAAACCAATAAAATATTTGGACAAACAAGCCTACTGTGATGAGTCAGCTTCTCATAACTGCTCTGAAAGAGTAGTTCAAATGCAACTAAAGAACTACTCAAGCACACAAAAAACTGTTGTTCAGTGGATTCTTGTTCCTTTTTGGCCTGCCACCAGTATTAAAAGCTCATGTCTAAAAAGTTTTTGCTTGCTGCAGACATAATCAATTGATGCAATATCCTTGTGATTATAGCATGGGTACATAAATTTGCAGACATAATTGTCAACCATCGATCAGTAATCCTAATCTATTTGGTGGGAAAAAAGATACAAGACAACCAAAATAAGCAGACATAATTAATTGGTGCGTGAAAGTCACTGACAGGCAAAAACTTTTTGACAGGCAAAAAAGGAAGAAGAGCCATTCTGCAAAAAAAATATTCACTCCCATTAAGTTTTTCTTTGCATAGCTTTGCCACTGAATATTGTAAGAGTGACATATGAAGTGAGAAAAGTAAGTGGGCAAATAGTAACCAAAGTTTGGTGCTTGATTCATTTATTTCATAAGCAAAGATATCCAATATGTGACGTGCCAGTGAATTGCTCTCCCCTCCCCTCCCCTTCCCTTAGAGATAGTAACCAGTTGCACCGCTTTCAGCTGCATTAACTACAACCACATGCTTCTTCTCATTGGCTGTCAGTCTCTCATACAGCTGTGTATCTGGCCTATTCGTCTGTGACAACCTGCTTCAGCTCAGTAACACTTGAAAGTTTACTAGCATGAATTGCTCACTTCAGAGTCTACCCACTTTCTCTTTGAGTTGGCCATTCCAAAACATTGAATTTGTTCTCCTATAGCCATTCTGTTGTACACTTCCTTGTATGTTTGGGATCATTGTCTTCCTGCATGATTCACTTGTGCTTCAGTTTCAGCTGATGGACAGATGGCCTGATATATTCCTGTAGAGCTTCCTGATTCAAAACAGAATTTATACTTCCTTTGGTGATGGAAAGTCATCCATGTCCTAAGGCAGTAAATCATCTCCAAACCATGACATCTCATGCTTGAGAAGTGGTATGAGCTTCTTACTGTGGAATGCAATATTTGATTTCTGCCAGACATAACAATATCCATGTAGCCCCAAAATGTTCATGTTTGACTCATCTGTCCATAAAATGTTCCTTCAGAAATCTGGAGTTATCCAGGTGTCTTTTAGCAAATTTGAGACAAGCATGACTATTCTTAGTAAGTAGTGGTTTCTACCTTGCTTACCACACTTCCAAGCATTCCATTTTTAACCAGTGCTTTTCAGATGGGTAAATCATGTAGACTGACTTTGGCCAAGGCAAGAAAATCCTGCAGATCCCTGGATACTGTTCTGGGGTTCTTTCTAATTTCCTGTATGATTTTATGCTGTACTCTTAGAATGGTTTTGAGAGGATGGCTGCTGTTGGCAGGCTTCACTGTTGTCCAAGCCTTCTCCATTTCAAGACTATCTCTGATTGTGGATCAGTAGAGCTCCAGAGCGTTAGAAACAGTTTTTCACTGTTTCCAGACTGAATATGCCTCTAGAATTGATGTGGTGAGACTTTCACCATGATGAGAGGAGCCGAAGCTTGTGAGATTTACATAGGGTAGGGCTTGGTAGCACAAATCAGCCCTGTTTGTTTAATGAAGTATTCCCACAACAAGCTCTGGTTATCCCTATAGTGGAGCTGATTGAATTAAAGGGCAATTACATTTTTCACATTGGCACATCATATTGGATGGCCTTTGTTCACAGAATGAGTAAGACAAAAATGAAGCTAATTATTTTTCATTCAGATTCCATATTACTCAGACCATGTGAAGCCCTGATTACATTCAGTAGCAAATTATGCAAAAATTCAGAAAATCCTAACACTTTTTCATAGAACTGAATTTATTCTCTTGCCCATTTCACACAATGACTTCCCTCTTTTCCTACAAGCGAGAGGCGGGGAAAAGACGCCTCTGCTGGATGAGAAGTCCAGTCATATATTGTTCAGTGAATCTATAGCAAATAATAACTAATTGTTCTGTAAGCCTGCTGTAATGTCTGCTCAAAGGACTTACCATTTATATCTGTTTAAAAAGGGCAACTACTACAACAGACTGGCTTCTAATGAAGTTCCTCCCAGGCACAGGCCTCTGCAAGGGGAGCAAATGACGATATGCACATGACAACATTGTCAAGGAAACGCTGCAACTTATGCACTTGAGTCAAATGTCAGGATGCAAGCATATAACGGCAGCAATTGTGTGATG